AAAAAAAAAAAAAAAAAAGAATAGCCATTCAGACTAGAGTAACTTGATATCTTATTGTGGTTTTCATTTGCATTTCTCTGATAATTATTGAATTGCTGACACTAGCATGCCGTCATACCTGGCCAATTTTTTGATTTTTTTTTTGAGTCCCTCTGTTGCTCAGCCTGGAGTGCAGTCGCGAGCTCATGGCTACCACAGCCACCATCTACTGGGCTCAGGTGATTCTATCACCTCAGCCTTCCAAGTAGCTGGAACTACAGGCACACACCACCATACCTGGCTAATTTTTTGATTTATTGTAGAGATGAAGTCTTGCCAAGTTGCCCAGGCTGGTGTCCAACTCCTAGCATCAGGCAATCCTCTTGCCTCCACCTCCCAAATTGGCATGAGGCACTGCACCTGGCCACATTCTTTTGTAGAGATGAAGTCTCACTATGCTGCCTAGCCTGGTCTTGAATTTTGGGGCTCAAACTATCCTCTCACCTTGGCCTCCCAAACTGCTGTGATTATGGGCATGAGCCATCATACCCAACCTTGCCGACTTTTTCTTTTTTTTGAGTTGGAGTGTCATTCTGTCAACCAGGCTGGAGTGCAGTGGCACACTCACAGCCACCGCAGTTTCGACCTGCTGGGCTTAGGTGATCCTTCCACCTCAGCCTTCCAAGTAGCTCGAACTATAGAGGCACGCCACCATGCCTGGGTAGTTTTTTAGTGATTTATTGTAGAGACGAGGTCTCACAAAGTTGCCCAGGCTAGTCTCGAACCCCTGGGCTCAGGCAATCCTCTCACCTTGGCCTCTCAAAGTGCTGGGATTACAGGCTGAGCCACCAGGTCAAGCCATGGGATGTTTTTCCATTTGTTTGCGTCATCTTCAATATCTCTCATTGTGTTTTGTAGTTTGTAGTTCTCCTTGTGTAGCTCTTTCAACTTGTTGGTTAAATTTATTCTTAGGTATTTTATTATTATTATTGTTAAATGATTGTAAATGGGGTTGCCTTCTTGATTTTTTCCTCAGTTAGTTCATTATTCGTGCATAGAAATGCTACTGATTTTTGTGTTGATTTTGTATTCTACAACCTCATTGAATTTATTCATCAATCTAAGAGTATTTTTGGTGAAATCTTTTAATTTTTTTATATGTAAGACCTGAGCATTAGCAAAGAGAGATAATTCGATCCTCTTTTCCAATTTAGACGCCTTTTATATCCTTCTCTTCTGATTGCTTTAGCTAGGATTTTGTACTATGTTGAATAGTAGTAGTGAAAGTGAGCATTCTTGTCTCATTCCAGCTCTTAGAGGAAAGATTTTTTTTTTAAATTCAGAGCTGGGTGCAGTAGCTCAAGCCTATAATCCCAGTGCTTTGGGAGGCCGAGGTGAGAGGATTGCCTGAGTCCAGGGGTTTGAGACCAGCCTGGACAACTTGGTGAGACCTCGCCTATACAATAAATAAAAAAGTTAGCTGGGTGTAGTGGTAAGCACCTGTAGTTCCAGCTACTTGGAAGGCTGAAGCAGAAGGATTGCCTGAGCCCAGCAGGTAGAGGCTGCAGTGGCTGTGAGTGTGCCATTGTACTCCAGCCTGGGCAACAGAATGAGACTCCAATTCAAGAAAAAAATATTCAGTATGATGTTAGCTCTGGATTTGTTGTATATAGCTTTTATTATTCTAAGGCACGTTTCTTCTATACCTGTCATATTGTTAATTATTATGAAAATAATATTATGTTAAGTATGTTCCTGTCACTGTTAATTGTTGAGTGTTTTTTTTTATCATGAAGGGATGCTGAATTGTATCAAATGCTTTTTCTGCATCTACTGAGATGATCACATGGTTTTAACTTTCATTCTGTTGATGTGATATATAACATTTATTGATTTATATATGTTGAATAATCCTTGCATCCCTGGTATAAATCCCACTTGACTGTGCTGTATTATCTTTTTAATGTGCTTTTGGATTCAATTTTCTAGTATTTTGTTGAGGATTTTTGCATCTATGTTCATTGGGGATATTAGCCGGTAGCTTTCTTTCTGTTCTTTTCTTTTCTTTTCTTTTTTTTTTTTTTGAGTTGGAGTCTCACTCTGTCGCCCAG